GTGGGGGAAGTTTTCTTTTGTTGGTGTGGGTTTTGTCCCCCCCCCCCCCCCCCAATAGATGTTCCTCTTTGGGATGGATACTCTCTCTGCTGAAGTTGGGTCTGGACAAAGGTTTGGCCCTTGCCACAACTGAGAGCCGGATGTCTACACTTTCTGTTCTGCTCCAAGAAGTTCTCCTCCGTTTTTTGGATGTAGTTCTGGCTGCAAGTTTTTTGTTTTTCAGCCACTAATACAGATTCAATTGTTGTCATCTTGGATGATCCCAGGAAGGGCAACCTGGCTGCTGGTTTCGCCATCTCCTACGAAGGTCAGACAAACCATCATTCAGGGTTATAGTTTTAAGCATTGGGTCCCGCCTTTGCAGTTGAGGTTTAACCCACCAGGCCTGTGAGCACCTCTTGGGCTTTTCGGCATCCGGCCTGTGTTTCCCAGGTTTGTAAGACTTGGTACTGCGTTGCATTCAAATTGTGGGATGCTGGTTGTAGGAGGAATCGCACCCTGGGCTGCCCATCAGTTTTTTGTTTTTTTCCTAGGGTCCATTCCGCCTGTAGTATAGCAGTATAACCCGCAGGTTTAGATCTTTCTATATCCCTCAGTGGACACCAAGGATCTTGCAGTAAGTAAACCAATCTCTTGTTTCTCATGGACGCCCATGCGATAATGGTAATACCTTTGTTACATTTTGTCATTTGATACAGTGTGGCATACAGGAGCAGCTCCGCCTGCGCAGAGCGCGTCAATGTGGAGCGCAGCGCTCAGCTGAAGGCGCACATTCTGGACTATTTTGAGGGGAGAAATCCTCTGGAAGACGAAGGACGGGATGAGAAAGAGGCGGGGCTAAGGGATAAAAAGGTAGATGCATATTGTCACCAGATAATCGAGCCATCAAATTAAAGAGAAACAACCAATAAATCTGTCGTCACATCCAGCGGATACGAGCCGGTGTCAAGACTTCAAACCCCAAACAAGCTTATAGATTGTACAAAGAGTCCGAATATGTGCAACCGATCTTTCCTGTAACCGATCTTTCCTGTAACCGATCTTTCCTGTAACCGATCTTTCCTGTAACCGCCTCGAATCTTGTATCGTTATCACTGCACTCCTCCTTTCCTGTCTCTGATCTTATACTGTGTGTATCATCACTGCACTCCTCCTTTCCTGTCTCTGATCTTATACCGTGTGTATCATCACTGCACTCCTCCTTTCCTGTCTCTGATCTTATACTGTGTGTATCATCACTGCACTCCTCCTTTCCTGTCTCTGATCTTATACCGTGTGTATCATCACTGCACTCCTCCTTTCCTGTCTCTGATCTTATACTGTGTGTATCATCACTGCACTCCTCCTTTCCTGTCTCTGATCTTATACCGTGTGTATCATCACTGCACTCCTCCTTTCCTGTCTCTGATCTTATACTGTGTGTATCATCACTGCACTCCTCCTTTCCTGTCTCTGATCTTATACCGTGTGTATCATCACTGCACTCCTCCTTTCCTGTCTCTGATCTTATACTGTGTGTATCATCACTGCACTCCTCCTTTCCTGTCTCTGATCTTATACCGTGTGTATCATCACTGCACTCCTCCTTTCCTGTCTCTGATCTTATACTGTGTGTATCATCACTGCACTCCTCCTTTCCTGTCTCTGATCTTATACTGTGTGTATCATCACTGCACTCCTCCTTTCCTGTCTCTGATCTTATACCGTGTGTATCATCACTGCACTCCTCCTCCTTTCCTGTCTCTGATCTTATGCCGTGTGTATCATCACTGCACTCCTCCTTTCCTGTCTCTGATCTTATACCGTGTGTATCATCACTGCACTCCTCCTCTTTTCCTGTCTCTGATCTTATGCCGTGTGTATCATCACTGCACTCCTCCTTTCCTGTCTCTGATCTTATACCGTGTGTATCATCACTGCACTCCTCCTCTTTTCCTGTCTCTGATCTTATGCCGTGTGTATCATCACTGCACTCCTCCTTTCCTGTCTCTGATCTTATACTGTGTGTATCATCACTGCACTCCTCCTCCATGTATCCTCCTTTCCTGTCTCTGATCTTATACTGTGTGTATCATCACTGCACTCCTCCTCCATGTATCCTCCTTTCCTGTCTCTGATCTTATACTGTGTGTATCATCACTGCACTCCTTTCCTGTCTCTGATGTGGTTCGGTCTCTTAGACGTTGTGATTTTATAGCCTCTTACAGGCTCATGACATTGTCTTTGTCTTTGGCAGGCTGACGATTGGATGGCTCAGCTGTCATGTGACGTCCGACTTTTCCTGTCCATTCACCCAGATGAGCGTTTCTCTGGACGAGCCATTGCCCGCATTTTTCACGGGATTGGTATGTAGAATGTTGGGAGTATTTCAATCACGGGATTGGTATGTAGAATGTTGGGAGTGTTTCAATCACGGGATTGGTATGTAGAATGTTGGAGTATTTCAATCACGGGATTGGTATGTAGAATGTTGGGAGTATTTCAATCACGGGATGTGTAATTATTATGAAGGTTGAACAGTCCCTAGCAATCGCACCTTCTGTTACGCCATGGGCAGCCTGGTGCTGGAGGAGGTGAGGGCAGGTCTGCCAGGGGGTCTAGGGTTTGTGTAATTCACTTCCTAGGATGGACATAGTTCTTGATGTCAGACAGTAGGACACACCCCTATTCTGTCATTAGTATTCAGAGGCCAGGACACACCCCTATTCTCGGGATTGGTATGTAGAATGTTGGAGTATTTCAATCACGGGATTGGTATGTAGAATGTTGGGAGTATTTCAATCACGGGATGTGTAATTATTATGAAGGTTGAACAGTCCCTAGCAATCGCACCTTCTGTTACGCCATGGGCAGCCTGGTGCTGGAGGAGGTGAGGGCAGGTCTGCCAGGGGGTCTAGGGTTTGTGTAATTCACTTCCTAGGATGGACATAGTTCTTGATGTCAGACAGTAGGACACACCCCTATTCTGTCATTAGTATTCAGAGGCCAGGACACACCCCTATTCTGTCATTAGTATTCAGAGGCCAGGACACACCCCTATTCTGTTATTAGCATTCAGAGGCCAGGACACACCCCTATTCTGTCATTAGCATTCAGAGGCCAGGACACACCCCTATTCTGTCATTCGCATTCAGAGGCCAGGACACACCCCTATTCTGTCATTAGCATTCAGAGGCCAGGACACACCCCTATTCTGTCATTCGCATTCAGAGGCCAGGACACATTAGCATTCAGAGGCCAGGACACACCCCTATTCTGTCATTAGCATTCAGAGGCCAGGACACACCCCTATTCTGTCATTAGCATTCAGAGGCCAGGACACACCCCTATTCTGTCATTAGCATTCAGAGGCCAGGACACACCCCTATTCTGTCATTAGCATTCAGAGGCCAGGACACACCCCTATTCTGTCATTAGCATTCAGAGGCCAGGACACACCCCTATTCTGTCATTAGCATTCAGAGGCCAGGACACACCCCTATTCTGTCATTAGCATTCAGAGGCCAGGACACACCCCTATTCTGTCATTAGCATTCAGAGGCCAGGACACACCCCTATTCTGTCATTAGCATTCAGAGGCCAGGACACACCCCTATTCTGTCATTAGCATTCAGAGGCCAGGACACACCCCTATTCTGTCATTAGCATTCAGAGGCCAGGACACACCCCTATTCTGTCATTAGCATTCAGAGGCCAGGACACACCCCTATTCTGTCATTAGCATTCAGAGGCCAGGACACACCCCTATTCTGTCATTAGCATTCAGAGGCCAGGACACACCCCTATTCTGTCATTAGCATTCAGAGGCCAGGACACACCCCTATTCTGTCATTAGCATTCAGAGGCCAGGACACACCCCTATTCTGTCATTAGCATTCAGAGGCCAGGACACACCCCTATTCTGTCATTAGCATTCAGAGGCCAGGACACACCCCTATTCTGTCATTAGCATTCAGAGGCCAGGACACACCCCTATTCTGTCATTAGCATTCAGAGGCCAGGACACACCCCTATTCTGTCATTAGCATTCAGAGGCCAGGACACACCCCTATTCTGTCATTAGCATTCAGAGGCCAGGACACACCCCTATTCTGTCATTAGCATTCAGAGGCCAGGACACACCCCTATTCTGTCATTAGCATTCAGAGGCCAGGACACACCCCTATTCTGTCATTAGCATTCAGAGGCCAGGACACACCCCTATTCTGTCATTCGCATTCAGAGGCCAGGACACACCCCTATTCTGTCATTAGCATTCAGAGGCCAGGACACACCCCTATTCTGTCATTAGCATTCAGAGGCCAGGACACACCTCCAGATAATTTGTAAAGTCAGGTAAGAGTCATTTGTATTTTCATATGCAGCCAGCGGGTTTGTAGGAAAATTACCCTGAAACCTCGATTAGTTACACACCAGCCTGCTCCAGAGCACACCCTCCATAGTTGAACCTAATCCCTCCCCCCCCAATCTGCTCTACAGCCCACCCAGCTTTCATCAATGCACCTGCACATCCCCCTTCCACAAAACCCTCATCTAATGCCGGCATGGGCACACACACTGGACATCCTTACTGGAGGGTCACCCGATCATGGTTCAGTTGGACATTGCCACGTCAGGGAGATCCGGAAGCCTTGATCTGGAAAGTGAGGTAGAAAGGGTTCTGTCCCGGGCAGAACTCCACATTCCAGCCTTGTCTGCTGTTTACATCCCAGTGTGGATAAGTGGATGGCAGAGTACCTCAGCCAGCAGCACCTGGATCCCGGGCAATGGTCGTCTACACCCAGAGGTGTCACAGTTCCAGAATACCAGATGTAGACCTGCAGTGGATGTTCTGGTGGCTCAGTGGAGCAGTACACCCTGATTTATGCCCTTCCTCCCTGGAAATCCTTCTTTCTCTGTTCTGCAGGATCCAGATTGAGGGCATTCCAGCAATCCTTTTAGCTTCAGACTGGATTGAGCCAATGTGGTACTCCGACGTGATCAGACTCCTGGAAGATGCTCCGTGGCCTTCTGTCCCAAGGATTGGCTTCTGGTTTCTCAGCACGATTGTTGAAGCTCGGGTCTTTGGGGTGCAGAGGCATCTCTGAATCGGTGATTCCCATAATGCTAAAATTTAGGAAGTCTACTTCCTGCAATTGTACATGGAAGGAATACTTCACTTGGTGTGCGGAAAAAACTTTCATCCCAGAAAATTCTTCCTTTCTGCAAATGGACCTGGGTCAGAACCTAGCTCTTTGCAATCACAGAAATCTGCCCCTTTTAGGGTACAATTTTGTTCCAGAGACTGCTAGCTTCCCACTCTTTGATGAAGACTTGTGTGTAGGCCGTCTCCCATGTTGCTCCCCCTGAGTGCTCATCCATGGCTCCGTCTGAATCCGGTTCACTCCCTTTTTGAACCTAGAAGCTATATTCCCTTTTCCAGTCTCACGCACCAGGTTGCATTTCATGTTCTCATCACCTCTGTGAGGCAAGTGTCGGAACTGGGGCCCTATCCTGTAAAGTCAAACTTCATAGAATCCCATCGCACTCCTGACCTGATACAACCCAAAGCATTGGGCGGGTGCTGTAATGACTGGGGGTGCCACGCAAATCAATTCCAAACCAAACATCGTTGTAGTTTGTGCTTCTGTCCATCTCCAGTTCTTCGTCAGGAGATCTCCCTCCATTGCCTGGATGTAGTTTGTGCTTCTGTCCATCTCCAGAAGGAGATCTCCCTCCATTGCCTGGATGTAGTTTGTGTTTCTGTCCATCTCCAGAAGGAGATCTCCCTCCATTGCCTGGATGTAGTTTGTGCTGTGCATGTCTGCCTTTCAGCTACTGCTAGAAAAATAATTCCTGATGGTGGTTGTAAAGGGGAACCAGCTTCTCCGTCCACCATTTCCAGTGGCTTAGACGGATAATTAAAGCTTGTGGTATCGGGTTCCACCCTTTCCTGTCATGGTGCAATCTGATAGATCTGTAAGTTCTTCTTGGGCTTTTTCACATCAGGCTACTGTTTCCCAGATTTGTAAGACTGCCACTTGGTCTTCTGTTCACATGTTCTCCAAATTCTACCTGATGGAAGGTTCGGGGGCCTCATCTGATACCAGCTTCAGGCAAAAGGTCCTTCACACGGTTTATTGAGCTGAAGGCTGCCCCTAGTTCTGTTATTGGAATGGGCCTGTTGGTGTATTTATTATAAATGCATGTGTGTGTTCTATATACTAACCCTAAGGTAATTGTCTGTTTCCCTGGAGGTCCAGCCCCTGAGTGACCCTCATAGGCAGTTCATTGTGTTTCTGAGGCGGCGGCCGGGCGTGTGATTGTGGGAGATGACAGATGCAGAACTGATTTCCTAACATGTTATTTGTCCCCTCTGCAGGCAGTCCATGTTACCCTGCACAGGTTTATGGACGGGATCGACGCTTCTGGCGGAAATATCTTCATTTGGACTTTAACAAAGTCATGCAGGCCTGTAAGGAGGAAGTAATCCGGATGCGATGAGTCGTCATACTCCAATATAGACAAACAGTGTGACAGAAAATCAAATGCGTCTGTAAAAAAAACTTTTTATTCACATTATTTAATAAAATAAACATTAATAAAACTCGTTTGGACTCCTGTGCTGTGAGAAGTTTGCGGCATACATTGTACCCTTAGGGTTAGGGTGTGAGTTGGCAGTGAATTGTGGGAGCTGAAGAGTAATGACCAATCTCCTTGTTATGGTTTATAGATGGAAACTCCAACCTGTGGCAGTCCTGACAATGACGGTGGCCCATACAGCAATTCAGCCCAAATTATTTCCCGTTTTGTATGAAGTGGGGGAAGGGTCAGATCCTCTTTTAGGGTTTCTTTGCCATGACCCTGCTGGGAGTGTTCCCCCTTCTGAAAACTGTTGGCTCTCAATGAGAGGAAATTTAGAACTCATCACTATGACAGAAAGCGAGGAACATGAACAACAAGAACCCAACGCAGGTTCTCACTCTTCCTCACTCCATAGTAGGAGTTTTGATTGGAGTTCCACTTTCGGGAGGTTCCCCACCGTCTGCTTTCAGTACAACCATCAAGTGGCCTCAGCTTCCTACAAGGACAATGGAGACCACCTCCCAGGGGTGGAAAACTATTAACAGATAATACACCCGGCTCATTTCCTTTCTCTGGGATGTATCTGCTCAGCAAGTCATGTGACCACCATTAGCTAGAATCTTATTGGTGTACATAGCCATTGGGGTCAATTGGAAATCCATGCGTCCTATGTGCGGACGATGCTCTGATGTGGAGTTTAGACACCGCTACTACCACTGAGATCTATTGCAGCTGACCTTTCCATTCTGAGCAGCACGGAAAGGCTGAATGCAATCACTTATACTTAAGGTTGTAAAGTGGACCTGTCCTTCAGATTCCTTCCTGGTATTGTATGCTAAGTAGAGCTAAGACCTATCAATGTTTAGTCTTCATCTACAGGCAACATCTACTTCCAGCCGCCTCTAACCTGACAAACTTACAATAGTCCCAACCAGTGATGACTGATGAAGAGAGACTGAGGCAATGCTCTTGTCTGCCTCAGACTGCTTAGACTCTGGGAGAATGATGTTGTATATAAAGCTCAATTCCTGGCTCAGCCCTTAGGCTTAGGGTTGTCTCTACTCTCCCACCCACCCCCCACCGGATGTTGCATTTTCTTTTTAGTTCGGGTTTTCTGATGTCTTCAGGCCAGACACACGATATGCTGCATCTTCTGTTTAACCTCTTCTCTGGTCAGGACTGATGCTGACATCTGCACCTCTTTCTGCATCAATACACTATGATTGAGGTGGGCTATAGTGATGCCCCATAGGGGGCGATGCTAGGACACCAATCATAGTATGTCCTCATAGGAGGTCATTCAACTCAGAAGGCTAAATACATCTTGTGGTGAGGGGTCCCCAGCAGGAGGAAGGAGGTCCTGATCCCTCTATATAGATCTTTATTATCACTAGAGGGGTCCCCAGCAGGAGGAAGGAGGTCCTGATCCCTCTATATAGATCATTAGAGGGGTCCCCAGCAGGAGGAAGGAGATCCTGATCCCTCTATATAGATCTCTATCACTAGGGGGGTCCCCAGCAGGAGGAAGGAGGTCCTGATCCCTCTATTTAGATCTATCACTAGAGGGGTCCCAGCAGGAGGAAGGAGGTCCTGATCCCTCTATATAGATCTATATCACGAGGGGGGTCCCCAGCAGGGGGAAGGAGGTCCTGATCCCTCTATATAGATCTTTATTATCACTAGAGGGGTCCCCAGCAGGAGGAAGGAGGTCCTGATCCCTCTATATAGATCTTTATTATCACTAGAGGGGTCCCCAGCAGGAGGAAGGAGGTCCTGATCCCTCTATATAGATCTATCACTAGAGGGGTCCCCAGCAGGAGGAAGGAGGTCCTGATCCCTCTATATAGATCTATCACTAGAGGGGTCCCCAGCAGGAGGAAGGAGGTCCTGATCCCTCTATATAGATCTATCACTAGAGGGGTCCCCAGCAGGAGGAAGGAGGTCCTGATCCCTCTATATAGATCTATCACTAGAGGGGTCCCCAGCAGGAGGAAGGAGGTCCTGATCCCTCTATATAGATCTATCACTAGAGGGGTCCCCAGCAGGAGGAAGGAGGTCCTGATCCCTCTATATAGATCTATCACTAGAGGGGTCCCCAGCAGGAGGAAGGAGGTCCTGATCCCTCTATATAGATCTATCACTAGAGGGGTCCCCAGCAGGAGGAAGGAGGTCCTGATCCCTCTATATAGATCTATCACTAGAGGGGTCCCCAGCAGGAGGAAGGAGGTCCTGATCCCTCTATATAGATCTATCACTAGAGGGGTCCCCAGCAGGAGGAAGGAGGTCCTGATCCCTCTATAGATATCTATCACTAGAGGGGTCCCCAGCAGGAGGAAGGAGGTCCTGATCCCTCTATATAGATCTATCACTAGAGGGGTCCCCAGCAGGAGGAAGGAGGTCCTGATCCCTCTATATAGATCTATCACTAGGGGGGTCCCCAGCAGGAGGAAGGAGGTCCAGTTCTGGAGCCCGCTCTTACAAACCAATATTGATGACAGAACACACCCAGAGATGAGCAACAACAATGGTGGCAGATCTGAGGGATAAACCATATCAGGAGACTGCAGAAACGTAATATGTACAGTCTGGAGGAAAGAAGGGAAAGGATGGACATGACAAACCTTGAAATACATGAAGGGTTTGAATAAGGATCAGGGGGGAAGATTTTTAATATGAAGCTGAGATCAAGAAGACGGGGACACGACCTCACTAACCGGCAGAAAGTTCCTCAGATAGAATGATGTTAGGGAAAGGGTACATGATGCTTGGAACAGACTTCCAGCAGAGGTAGCAAGTTAGTCAACACTAAGCAAATGTACACATGCTCGGGGCAAACATCTAGAATCAAAGAGGATAACAAAATGGCAGCCTCGGTCATCACCCATCCCCCATCGCTGTACATCCAGAAGATGTCCCACTATAGAGAGCCAACTGTCTCATCTCTGAATGTCCAGGAAGGGAGTCTCTGTACCTAGAGGTCCAACTGTCCATCTGTCTCTGTATAGAGAGGTCCATCTGTCTCTGTATAGAGAGGTCCATCTGTCTCTGTATAGGGAGGTCCATCTGTCTCTGTATAGGGAGGTCCATCTGTCTCTGTATAGAGAGGTCCATCTGTCTCTGTACAGAGAGGTCCAACTGTCCCTTAATGGTCTCTCTGTAGTGGGACAAGTTCTGGACATTTGTTTGATCACTGCACACCCACGAAGGGAGCGTCTGTACAGAGAGAGCCAACTGTCCCATCCCTCAATGACCAGAAGTTGTCCCACTATAGAGACTGTCCCATCACTGCACATCCAATAAGGAATCCCCGGCACCATGCTGAGAGTTCTGATGAGAGATGAGGCGGGGCAGGTTAGGGAAGTCCTTCTCACACTGAGGACAGGAAAAACTTTGAACACTAACATGCTGTCTATGATGTCGGTGGCTGCGCTGATGGCGGAACAAATTGGAGCTCTGCGTAAAGGACTTCCCGCACTCGCACACGTATGGCCTCTCCCGTGTGTGCACGCGTTGGTGCATGATGAGGTGCGATCTGCAGTTAAAACTCTTCTCACAACGCTGACACTGGAAAGGTTTCTTCGGAGGGAGGTTAGCCATTGCCAAGCCCAAGTACGTCTTACACTGATCACTGGTGGTTAGGATCTTGGTGTTGCCGGCACCGGCTAGCAGGAGGGTTTTAGTGACTTGGTTTAGCTCGGTAGTACTTTGTTCCGGGTCTCTGCTGAATCCTTTCACTGCTCTTCCTCGTTTCTTGCACACAAGTTGTAAAGCTTCCTGCATGCGTAGATGGTCAGAAGTCCCGTCCATTTCCACCGTATAGAGCGGAGCCGGAACACTGGTGGGAGAACCTTCCTGCTTGATCTTAATGAGCGGCATATTCTCTACTGCAACAGAGAAAATAACAGCTAATAACCCTGAGAGAAAGAGGAGCGGCCTCCATAACCAGGAACCCCCC